TTATTAATGAATGTATTTTAATATACTCACATGTATAATGAGGTGATAGACGTTTTGAACAGGGGAGTGGCTACAGATGAGATATCACGGTTCGATTAATTCCCCTTCCAAGCCGCCTTCTTTAACCCGCACCAGTTTCTCCACCTGCCCTCCCACACTAAACAAAGAGCGTCACCACCACCACCCAGCTGTTGTGCTGTTTGTCTGGGCCGTGAGAAGAGAGAGGGCTGTTTCCCACACACACAGCAGACCCTAACAGACGAGCTGCCTCTCCATTCACTGCAGGGCTGCTCCGCTGTGCACTCCGAAGGGACAATACTCTGTGTTCGGTCTGAAGCAGCACTGAGGAGGAACGTTTTACATTGGCTTCCCCATACTGTAAGTAGGCTTTACAGACAATATTGTTATTATTTTTAGCTTAACTTGTTTCCATCAAATATTATGTTTAGGGTTGGATGCTGTTTTTTTATGGTTATCAATTTCTGATTTATTTAACTTTATTGTTAGCTAACACTCTTCTTGGCTATATTTAAAACATACATGTTTGTTATCCCCTAACACCTAAATAATGATATAGCTGAAGTTATATTATAGAATTACCTATACATCTTTTAATAAGTCAGATGTGTTTTCAATCAAATTTAGCAATACATCTAAGTATTTAAGTATCCTTTTATTTGTATACTTCTCTCTGTTGTACTTTGCACATTCCTTGAACAATTGTGCATATTTCTGCTGCTACAATATACTAACTATACTAATACCAGTGCTATAAACTACACATGTAATTCAGATATATGTTTATATTTATATACAGTATATATTTTAATATTCTTTACTGAAATATATTTGTGTCAGCTTTCATTTGAATACAGACTTTTGATTTGTTAGTATTTCAAATATATATATTTATCTTAACAGAGAGGAGAAAACTGGACCCCTGCAGGAACCATCTACTTCAACAAGCCCTGATCGTCAGGTGCCTGATATCAGAGATTTTCTCCTGGACAAACAGGATCCACATCATCGCGTCACTTTGATCCTGCAGCCGGACCATGGTTCTGTGTGAGGACGGAGAGTGCAGCGTGTGCCTGCTGCCCTACTCTCGGACAGACAGGGTCCCCAGGGTGCTGCACTGCAGGCACACCTTCTGCCAGCTGTGCCTGGAGACCATGTCCCAGGCCCAGAGCGGGCTGCTCACCGTGGGCTGCCCTCTGTGTCGACGGGTCACCGGCGTAGGACGGGGCCTCGGCCTGCAGGAAGCTCTGTGGGTCGACAGCAAGCTGTGGGAGCAGATACCGGAGGAAGAGGACGCTGAGGCAGAGGAGGAGGAGGAGGAGGAGGAGGAGGAGGAGGAAGATGGACTGAAAGCAGAAGCTGAGGAGCAGGGGACGGAGTCCAAACAGGAGTCCTCGCTGCGGGCAGAGTGGTGGGTTTAAAAGTGTAAACAGACACGTATGTGGTCATTAGCAAGTAATAACTCATACTTATTTTTGGGCTTTCACAACTATTTACACGTATCTATAAACTTTGTGACATCTTGAGTTATTTTCTCCAAACAATGCTTTTCCAGAATGCCTTAAATGTAGGGTAGGTAAGAATGGAGAAACCAGCTCGAGTAAGCTAGAATTGGAAAGTACATAACTGAAAAAAATGTTTCTGAAGTGAATTACCTACCCTACCTTTAACTTTTCCAAATGAAAAACATGCAAATTGAGTAGAGTATGAGAATAATATCCCTTTAAAACCAGTGTTGAATTTGAAGAATTGGAGAAGATTCCTGCTATAGCTCCCCCTTTCACACGTTGGTGTTAATCTGCACGTTTGTCCACAAAGCTTCTCATTAGCGCCTCGGCTCTGCAGGGCCACATTTTGTTGTAGAAGTAACCCTATTCAACTTTTGCTTTTCAGTGCTTCCTCCAGGTCTGCCAGAACAAAGCTCAAACTGCCTGGCTTCTTCAGGAAGTTCAGTTTATCGAAGCAACACCAAGAGAGGATTGTGCCCGGCAGTAATGTGTAAGTCCTGACTTTGGGAAAAATAACATAAAGAAAAATGGAAGGGAAAATAAGTACTAACTAAAATGTGTGTTTTTTCTTGTTTTTAAGGGAAATGAAATCGTGGCGCACGCTTTCAACTGAAGAGACTGTTTAAGAAGGGAGGAGGTGATGTGGCAGATCCTCTTAGGATGTTATTAGCAGATGCTAGACGCCACAAGAAGACGACTCACCCCTCTGAAGGGAGAGAGTCCAGGTCGTTAGAGCCAGGAATCCATTTGTGTTGCTGTCAGGACTTTGTTTGTCTCCAGCCAACACGGTGCCCCGTGTCCCCATTATTTATTCTAGGCCTAATTCCCCCAGCTGGTGCATTTGGTTCAGCTGTCCCAGGGGGACTCGCACCCGGAAACCCCCTCGTGACAGATGGTCTCTGAGGACCTTCCCTTCTGAACGTTGAACATAACTTATTGTTTTTTATTTTATTTATGATAGCTAGTAGGCAAAGTATTAAATAAAACTATTTTTGAAAGAAAACATTTTTTTATTTACTTGTGGAGAGAAAAGAATCATGAGCAATTCTGTACTTTACAAAATGCATCATTTATGACATTACGTATGTTTTTAAGTGATTGAAAAAAAGTGAATGCAGTCAGAGATTTCTGAATGTGAAAATGAGTTGTGTGGGCTCGAAACAACAAAAGCATGTCACAAAAGACTTGTTCAGCCATGAAAGTGGATTATAAACTCCATTCAGTGAGCATCTGGCAATATTCCATGCTGCGGATATTAGAATAGTGGATCATCACTGTCATGGAAATGGACTTTATTCTCTTGTGCTACCTTATGTGCACACACCAGTTCAGAAATATACAGCATTCTGAGATACATGAAATCTCACTGAGGTATTACAGGGTTTGGCTTCTCACTCATATTAAGGTCATGTGATTTGGCTCCAAGAAATCCGTTAGTAGTCCCACTGGTTTGATTCCAAAGTGGTTGGAGCAGGTTTCTCAACTGTAATCCTTGATTGTGTGTTGTTTTTCCTCTCCGCACCATTTAAGTTTTCCCACGGTTAAATACTATCCGATGACTCGCCAGTCACACAGGGAGCTCCTTCCAAAGCTGTGATGATCTGGAATCAGCAGCTGGCTGTCAGTCAGGAGGACCAACACACTGAGCTGTGAGAGTGCCTCAGTTTCAGTTTCGCAACATTCACTGACTCCCACAGCTAGTGTTGGTCTATGGGCCTTTAAGATGGAGCAGAACAGGAAACAACTCCCAGTGCAGGGAACAAGAACTCATATTCTCCACTCAAGTGAAACAGCATTGCTACAAGGTGAAAACAATGCAAATACAAGATCCAAGATCCTGTATTCAAAAGGTTATCAAAACAAAAGTACTCTTCTTTATCGCAATGAAAAGTCTGTACGTTGTATACAAAGTACTAGTACCTTAAAATTGTACTTCAGCACAGTACTTGAGAAAATGCGCAGGTTGGAGTGGTCACAAGAAATGAGGAAGTTCTCAGATCAGGTCCCACCTCAACAAATAAACATCTCTAACAGAGGGGGAGTCTTGTGGAGTCTTTGCAACAGACATTGTGCAAGACAGTTTCCCAGAGCTGACCGTTACAGCAACACATTCCTGTTTGGGTACGTGTGTCCCACCGACTGTGGGTTGAGTGAGATATACTCAAATACCTTTGCAAAATTGCAAATCTGGGACTAAACTAGGACAGACTTCAATGGAATGTTAAGTTCACTTTGTGACTATAACTTTAAGTGTTGCCATTAGTTTGTCTGTCTGAGACAGAGAAGAAATACTGTTAGATTTTCGTGAAACTTGGTGGAAGTGTGAAACATGAGGCAAGTCAAGAAGCCAACATATTGTTTGAGCAGATCCTAAGAACTGGGCAGATATCTGAATGGAAGCAGCCCTGGCTGAGGTCTTTGCTCTTTTAGTGCCCAACAGATGCAAATGTGTTTGAATATATTTAAAACTCAGGCACGATTAGTAAAAGCCTCACAGTGACTAAGACATGCTCGTTATTGTGCCCCCCCCCCCCCCCCCCCCCCCCCCCCCCCCCACCCCCCCACAAGGCTCCTGTGGCCCCAGCCATACAGCAGGTGACTGATGACTGTCTCACAGTAGAAACCATGCGTGCCACAACATGTACAAATACTTGTTAACACTGTCACAACTATTGCTTAATTACTGGTAACTACACCAGCAGTTCCCTGTAGGTCTGTCTGACGTAGCACCGTACCACCTGTCAATTTTTAAATGGGTTTATTGCTATTTATTTTAAAACAAATGTTAAGTAAAACCACAAAATACCCTATAATAAATAAAGCCAGAATGTCTCTTAATTCTGGCAAATGATAAAACATAATTCTAGAAATATACTTTTAGGTTTATTGTAAATGTATTTTTCATGAATTAAATACAGGATTTTAGTTTTTTGTTAGAAGTGTTTGTTGTTGTAACTAACTTTGGCAACAAGAGGCTGAGCGTCCCACATAGCGTTGTGATAGAAACGTCTCATAGCATTCATGTTTGCTTCCAGCTCACACAAGGTTCAAATATAGTGTGTGAGCAGGTTTTGCAATATATCCGTCATGGCTTGAAAACATGAAGGCTGTGAGTTCTGTTAACAACATGAGGGAGTGGTGCTCTTCAGCCTCATGTGCTCCACATGAGAAATACATCAAACTGAGAATGTTGCCACTCCCTTTTCTTCCACCTGTTTCACTGACGGAGAAAAGGGAACATCGACAAATATTCCTGTCAAAACTATTTTTCAGAATGTAGATATTACTGTAATAATTAAATATTCACAGCTTAAAAATGTAATTGAACTTTCATTTCATGGACTGCTCAAAGTATGAGCTTCAGTTTGTGTCTTTTTAAACAAGAATAAACACACACACAGTAAGGTGTGTGTTAATAGAAGCAGATGTGTGTACAGTGTGGAAAAGAATGTGCAGGGGAACTAAAACACTCACTTTGGTAATTAATAAGACATCTTTATTAATCATTTGGAGAGACATGCTAGATCTCTGTACAGTTGAATGAGAGCAGAACACACACACACACACCCCGGGAACACCCCACCGACATGCAGAGACACCGGGTCCATTCCCAGGGACTGCTGAGATGGGACTCTAAAAGGGACTCTTCTTTAAGGGAATAAATACAAAGGGACGTCTAATGAACTGATTGATCATTTGTCCTAATTTAAAAATAAATACCCATTGAGTGATTTTTAAAGTGCTCTCCTTACAAGGCTGAGTGGTGGGTAATGAGAGCAGTACATTCCTGTTTGAGATAATAAATAGGCAGCAACAGAGGCTTATATTATCACTTTCATTTTCAGCAATTATAAATTGAAAAGAAACCTTCTCATTCCCAAAACCAATCTCTCCTGCCATGTTGGATCTCTTATTATTATTTGGCTCTTTATGTGGGCTAGAAAGGTTCACCAGTTTTTACAAGAGTGCTTCCTTTTTGGACAACAATGTGTGAACAATTAACGAGTCTACTCTAAAACACAGGACTCCAACTGTTCTGTACATTAAGATTATTTTGACCATGTGTCTAGGACTTACATCGTCACTATAAATAATAAACCATGTTCTTCAAAAGTGCAGTAAGATTTCACTTCAAGTCAAATCAAAAGTAGTGTTCTCAATAGCGTCTGACTCCAGCGCCAGTGTTTTATGATACCTGGCTCTGAAACAAAAGAACAAAATGAAACAACATTGCATAACGTCATTTGTCAGTTTAAACACAAGCAGCAAAGAAGTGGGACACGTGACACTCACACAGCTCTTGGATTAAGTGACTTTACATTTACTATGAAGCTTTACGGTGCTTCATATTCACCTGAAAGGTCTACACGTGCAAATAAGTCTTCTGTCAGGAATGGAACTGGATTACGTGTGTGTGAGATCAGTCTGCAGCTCCTGTTCCTCTGTGATTCTCCACTGTGCAGACCACCAGAATCACACAATGCCACGTCATGTTGTTGTGAGGGGGGAGACCTATTATGAAGCCTTTATGTGGCAATTGAAACGACTTGGAAGTGGCCCTCTATAGAACTGCATTCTAATGTTGCCTATACAGAAAGCACACATTTACACACACACATGACAAAGAGATATTCTGATGTCAAGTATACAAATCCAGTTAGACATCAACAAAAAGACAGTCATCATGAGAGTGCATTAAGTCACTGGTGTAAATGTACATATTGTGTTCACTGGTAGACAGTACCTATGCTCAAAGACAAGGCATGCATTATATACTCAAGATGTTGCTGACCACTTCCTGTTTGCACAGTTATGGATCCCACAGGGGTTATGGACTGGAGGCTGAAAGGATAAAACTGGTTGTTTGAGTAAAAAGATCCTTAAGTGTATGTATACGGGGAATATTGACAATGTGTAGGGCTGCCCATTGGCACAAAGACCAATTACTAGGAAATCCTAATAGTTTGAAACATGTCCTGTTAGAGCTATATTTTGATGTATATGATTGAATAGCTAAACATTTAATTTCTCATTGTTTTTGTGAGTAATGTAATGTTATTTAGTGTTATTATTAGTTAGTTAAAGTAGTTTTAAGCTTTTATTTTGAAGGTGTATTTGGGCACCTGGTGTAATTGTATATATTGGAGACAGGTGGTGGTGGAGAGCACCAGTTTGATTTATCAGGGTAAACACGAGGAGACCAGAGGACAGGCCCAGGGAAGAGAGGTAAACCTTTAGGAATACAATGCACAGAAAGGACTCTTGCCTGGACTTGATCATTTCATTTGAGTTCATTTTCTTGTTTATTTGCAGTGGGCATTTTTGATTGGTGGAAAAAAATTGTGTTTTTGAAGATTGGGCCGTTGGATCATTTCGTGGCACAGCCTGGTCGGAGGTTAGGACAGGAATACATTTACTGCAATAGTGTTGGGAGGAATTCTATGTTTGCCTGTAACAATAGTGGGATCCATAAACATACATCCAAAACCATCTGCTCTTATCAAGCCCTCAAAAAAGAGCTTTGTTTGCATCTTTCAAAAAAACAACCTTTCCAGAGAGATTTCCCTGAATATACAAAAATATAAAACAGAAACTGGGGAGACTTCCTTTTTTACTTAAAAAAAAAGTATCCACATAAAATAACTTGTTTGATTGTTTCACATCTTTGTCTTTTGTACTTTCTTTTTTGCAAGATGTCAGACTTTATGGCAGTTTCATTTACATAGTAGACTAAACTACTTTAAAACCAAATTCACATATTGTTAGTTCCAACCGGTGACTGACAGTCAGGTGAGGAGGCCAGATTCACAACTTGCAGAAGTCAACTGCAGGTTAACCAATAGGAAGCAACATAACAAGCATGTGGTGTAGATGATGTGTTTATCCCAGGATGAGGCTGAGTATTAACAGGAGCAGCCTCCTTCAGTAGTCTGAGGCTCCTGCGGTTTGCCCAACTTGATGTCGATCACTGGAGAGAGCGTTAAGGAAGCGTTGGAAAACATCAGTATTGATTTTATTACATGCTCTGAACGGAGCAGCTGCTCTGAAAGCCTTCAAGGAGGACATGCAGGTGAAACATGATTAACCAGACTGCCTAATAGAAGACTGTAGTAGCACTTATCTACCACTAGATGGTAATATTTCCCATGCAACCCTTCCATTTGCAGTCAACTATACTAACAGCCAAAATACCTACATTATGTCAAAAAATAAATAGATATAGTTGCTGCACATAATAATAATTAAAAACATATTTTTTATTATTGGTAGGTTTTATGTTTAAAACACAATTCAGCATTTTCTTCACATTGTGCAGTGAAAGGGCAGACCTGCTGTAAGGAGCATCAGTCAGTGCTGGTGTACTTTAATACAAATAGCAGGTGAAATGTGGCAGCAAGCTCTTACTTACTATTCATCTTTCTGGTAAAAATGATGCATGTATAGGAGGGGGCCCGGCCTATAAAAACTGTGGCCTACATATTGTATGCAAGTTGAAAGAGTCCCACTGCTTTCAGATGCCCCTCCCACAGTGCATGGTGCTGTATCCTCTATGTTTGTATGCAGCAGGTGATGTGTGTTTTCATGTTTGATGGAAGCGTTTCATCTCTACATGGTAACATTTGAAGGACAGCTTATATTCCAGCCTTCCCATTTGGATTGGTTCCCATCTGGAATATGGAGGCTTTATCACAGCATTACCAAACCAAATGAGCGCATTCAGCTCAGAATATTTTACAGCTCTGATGCCTGTGTGTGATAGGGTGTGTGTGTAGGTTACAGTCTACACTACAGCATCTCCTGAACAGTGACTAATGAGTCCTCTGCCACTATAGTAGCATTTGTTTCAGAGTGTAGCGCAGGGGTGCCCAACCAGTCGATCGCGATCGACCGGTCGATCGCGGGGAGATTCCCAGTCGATCGCGAGATGTGTCTAAAAATAGAACAACAACATTCTGTTTTATCGTTAATGTCCTGTAACATAATCTTCCTGTGCCAGAATAATGCACTTGAACGCATCAAAGCTTTGTGATTGGCCGGCGTGACCCCATGTGTCGGGGCGTGGCTGGTGGGCAGTGGGCACTATTTCGCTGACGTTGTCCGTATCAACAGGAGTGACAGTCCGCACACACACAAGACCGCAATTACGGCAGAAGCAAAAAAGCCCAAAATATATAATTGTCACTCCGAGTGGGAGGATGATTATTTTTGTATCTATTCCAATTCAAAGTCTATCTGTCTCATCTGCAATGATAGCGTGGCTTTATCGAAGAAGGGTCATTTAGGAGTGGCATTTCAAAACAGTGCACAAACGCTCCGAGACGGAATTCCCTCCTAATTCTGCCCTACGCTCCCAAAAGGGGAGGGGCCTGAAAGGACAGCTAAATGCACAGCAGTCCATTTTCACCAGGCCCAACAACAAGAGCAAGGCTGCTACCATAGCATCTTATCGTGTCAGTCACGTTCTTGCGAAACACGAAGTCTTTCAATGACGGCGAAGTTGTGTAAGAAGCTTTCCTGGAGGCTGCCGATGCGCTTTTTGGGGGACAGTAAAAATAACAGTAGCATTTCAACAGGTTTTTGATATAATAAAAACTCAAGTTAGATATCGTTATTAATCAGCTGTACATTTTAGTTTGTTTGAACTTATTCATTATAATTATTGTACAAAATGGTATAAGAATGCAAACATTCAGATCTGTTCTGTTTAAATTGATTATAGTCTATCATCAATTCAGGTTAAGAAACTAGTGTTGCTTGCATCCTATTTTAAAGGCATTTATTTTTATAATCTACTAAAATGCAACAAAAAAGGGTTTGATTCTATTAATGTTGTCTTTTTTATTGCACTTTGGCAGCAGATTCCTGTGTAGCTTCAGATCTGAGTTGTCTTATTAGTAAGCCTAATTTATACTTTTGTAGAAACACTATTTTTATATAATGGCAAAGAAAGGGTTCAGAGTCTTTTCTTTTTTCCTGTGTCATATGTGGCAGCACTGTTCAATGTTTCTTGAAAACATTACCCACTGTAGTGACGTGTGAATAAACTCCAACTCTGTATCAACAACACTGTTGTGTAACTTCAGTAAAATGTGTGTAGATTAGAAAGAGGTAAGATAAAGGATCTGCAGTATTTTATGAAGTATTAATCGTACAAAGGTCAGTTTTATACAAGTAGAAGTGTGTATTTACCTGGTAGTAGGCTGTCAGTAATGGCTACGCCTCTCTATTTGGACTGGTAGATCTCGGCAGACTGGCAACTTTGAAAGTAGCTCTCGGTTCAAAAAAGGTTGGGCACCCCTGGTGTAGCGTAATGCATAAGTATGTATTCTGGTTGAATCCTCAAATAGCTTTTAAGCAATAGATGGATAGCAGTGGCGGCTGGTGAATCTTTCTCCAGGGGGGCTCTACCAAAACTTGATACAGTCTATTATTTTAGTGCCTGTTTTTGTCAACCTCCTTATTGTGCTTACTGATCCCTATCCTGTAACCCTCATTGGACAGCTGTGTTTACTTTCCTAAACATGGCTAGTCGCATAGCATCGTCCATGTGGACTCTGGTTTGTTCATGCTTTTTAGCTTTTTCTGATATGTGCTTTAAGTCGCTGGATCCATGCTGGGTCTGGTCCATAGACTCGTCTGATCCTGACGTTTGAAAAGGGAGGATGGGGAAGCAAAATGTAGCACTGGTGTTGCTACAGGTAGTTAGCCAAGCCTTCTTGCCAAACCAGCTCCTTCAAAATGTACGCTTATACTGCCTTCCTCTGTCCTCTGACTCCTGCCTATGTCAGGCTGATCAGGGGCCTCATTTATAACGCCGTGCATAGGATTCACGTGGGAAGGTTGCTTACGTAGTAGAAATCCAAAAAATAGGTACAGACATTTTCCGATTCACCAAACATTGCGTACCGGCGAGGAAAGTGCGTACAGCACTTCCTACGCCGGTTTCCCTTTATAAATCACAATCGACTCGAAATGCGGTGCAGCTTTTGCGGGCTTCACGTAACGCCCATATTTGCCTAAATAGTCAAAGAAACGCCCATTCATTCAATCATTTTGACTGACTTTATGAAGAAGATCGCAGGAAATGACGACAGAACAGCTAAAAAAGACATCTCACACCGTGTCAGATTTAGGTTATTTTGGGGAGGTCGAGATAAATCATATTGTTTGGTGGATGCCGTTTGAACCAGAGTAGCAGCATGGAGGTCGGATCGTCACCAAAATAAATAAATAAGTGGTCTGAAAAAGGTTCATGACAACAAAAATACACATAGCTTTCCTCAGGCAGTGTGTTTGCACCGGGGACAGGAGACACCCCCTTGATGAGAGACTGTAAGAAGTGATCGGGGAATCCCTCCGGAGTGGAGTCATGACGACTGGATCTGAATTATATTTTCGTATTTGGTGGTTTGTGTCCCAGCTGTCGATCAGCTGTGCGCAGCGTCTCCACTGCAGCCTGTGCATCTCAACCCCCCCCCCCCCCCCCGCAGCAACCCTATATCCACCAGTTAAAGGAAATACAACTAATGTGTTGTGTTATATTAGCTGTACAATTGACCACATATGGTGTTCTTAGTTTCCATACCTCCTGTGTTTTATGAGCGACTTATCAAGTCTTAGCAAACGGCATAAAACATGATTACACATGGTAGTATATAAAACCATGCTCGTATCTACAACCTATAGAAATGCAAAACCGCATCATTTGAGAAAACATTTCATAACATTAACACAACATATTCGAGGTGGTTTTAAATAACATATCCGTATTTATTTATTTCTCCAAGTTATGTTTTTGTGTGCACTGAGGAGTCGCAAACAGGCGTTTGTTTAATCATTTTAAGATTGGCTTTAATCATTGTTTGAAAATGAATTATTCATATGATAAATGAGAGGTAACATTTTGTTTATGGTATTATTTCCACATATTTCTCTCCATTCTTCCTTCTGCCAACGGTGTCGCAGTTTCTCGTCTCTCCCGTGTTTGTGCTTAGTGCGTACGCATGGGTTAGAGTTTGCGTGGAGAACCGCACGTTTTCCCGTCAAGTTAGTATTTTATAAATCGCAAACATTGCGTAGAAACTGGCGGACGCCATTTTTTGCGTATATCCCTTTATAAATGAGGCCCCAGGCCTGAGCTCTTTTACTTTCAGCTTTCCCTCCAGTGTCCTCCTCTCAAAGGGTGTTTCTTTAAGTGATTAAACATCATTTTCCTTCTCCATATTCGCTATCTAGTTTAGTGGGAATGCTGATACAGCATTCCCACTATCTGTTCTTCGACGCACAAAATTATTTATTATTCCGCCGGGTTATTTTGCGCCTCTTCCTCTCCCACATTCCACATCGCAGAAACTCCGTTCAAACATCAAAACGTTCAGCTCGGTCAGGAATCGATGGCTATTATTTTTCTCATTCATAACTTTCACAATTCCAGACATACATCCCATAATTCATCACATGTTTAACATGGAAGTAAATGGAGAAACTCGTCAGACTTGAAACATCTTCATGCGACTTCAACTGCTAACTGTTCCTTCATACTTTCACTCAGAAACCTCATTCCAACTTTAAAATGTTACACATCTTTCTGACATTATTCGTGTAACACAACTTTTAAATCTGATTCATACTTTTAGAGATATTAAACATTGTTCAGACCTTGGTAAAGAGGCCTTCTTCAGATTTTAGAGTGCGTGATTTCACAGCTAGAGTGGAGGACAGATTTAATTTTGCCTTCATATTTTCTTTTAAACCTGCCATAATTCCCAAACCCTACATTTCTAAGACATAATGTTTCATGACAAATGTAGGAAAACATCTCGTAGCTTGTAAAATAAAAATAAAATTAAGCAAAAAATAATTAAGCAAAATGCCTCTTGAGGGCATGAAGTGACAACAACTTTCAACATGTCTCCATTAAACCCCATTGTAAATTCAGCCTCATCTTTCCCCACCACAGCAGCCGCA